GCATAGCTTAAAGGCAGTAGAACAAAATTATTCTTAAGCCAGCTTGCAAATTTTATAATTGTGGCTGCCATTTCTGTCCTCAATGAATTAATTATTCTGTTAAAATTATTTTGTAAATCAAATTGATGTAGTAGTATATAATGTCCAATATATGCCAGTCAGACACCTGTAAAATATGCATTCTTTTTTTCATTTCAGGTATTGCTTATGGCAAACTGAATACAGAAGGATGAAGCACACAAGACAGCCAAAAAGCATCACTAATGTTGCCCAGCATGAAAACATAACTGTCATTACATTTTATTGGATAGTGGTTGTAGTGGAAAATTGATCTCAAAGTTATAAATGCTTTTCCAAGGATTTGTTACTCTAAGTTATAAAGAAAGCATAAATTATGGCTTGCAACCCAAGTATTGTATTTCTTTCAGTTAAATATAGTATCCTTGAAATATATCTAAAAGCATTCTGCTTACCAGGTTATTGAACCTAACATTTGCAGCAAATGATAAAATGTGCTGCAGTAAGAACACTAGAAAGCAGTTTAGCAGTTATCTTATATCTGCTAAGTTATAGGTGTCATCGTTATTAATTAATTTTACAAATTTATATGATCACTCATCTTAACTAGTACAATTCTGGGTGAACAAAATAATATAAATACAAAAACACAATAAACAAATGGATCCCATTACAAAACTATACTAGGCTCCTTATTAATCTGTCTAACAACACAAGAAAAGATGCCATGCCAGGATCTAACTAATACCTTGGCCTGAATGCCTGGGGAAAGGCCAGCAGGCATTTGCTCGCACAAGCACGAAGCCGAAGACCCCAGCCTGAAGATGACGAGTGGGACCTCGTCGAAACGTCGCCAAGATACTCTCAATGTTACACAGGAAAAGACCCGAATACGCCAAGACCTGCATACCTGTACCTGTGAAAATCTACCAAAACATACATACATACATACATACATACATATATATTCCTTTCTCCCATATTTGGGCCGACAGGGTGCACCAAACTCAAGATAATACATATATATGTATTATATATACCTTTTCTCATAATCAGAACAAATTGTTCAATCAAATGATCTTCTAAGGTGTTACTGTTCTGGCTAATCATCATTTTTACTATGCTGCTACTGTTTTAATATAATCTACTTTTACTATACTTCACACATGTGAAGTATAAATATGAATTACAACTCAATTTACTGTTGACATAATGCAAGAAAAAGCAAAAGAAGAAAATGCATCTCAGTAGAAATTACACCTATATGGGATAGAGAGTTTGTTCCACAGGATCAGAAAAGGACACTCCTTTCTTATGCCTGTCCATTTACACAATTGTAATAACAGGTAAAGACAATTGCTAGATTATTTTCCCCTGCTGATTCTTACATGTATTTACTCAAAATAAGTACCATGCAGGCAGACATTATAAGTATGCTCTATTGATAGAGACACACATTTAAATTTTACATGAAAAGAAGCTTAGACATAAATCAAAAGTTGCCATGTGACCCCAGTAAATTACAGGTAGTCCTTGACATGACCACAATGGAGCCCAAAATTTCTGTTGTTGAGACATTTATCTTTCTTGCCACCATTGTTAAGTGAATCACTGGTTGTTAAGTGAATCTAGCTTCTCCACTGACTTTGCTTGTCAGAAGGTCAAAAAAACTGATCATATGACCTTGGGACATAGCAATGGTGATAAATATGAACCAGTTGACAAGCATCTCGACCATCCCCTTGGTTTACCGAGGGGCTGAGAGAGATGAAACGTCGGAAAAGACGCCTAGAGAGCAGTTGGAGGGACAGCCGAACCGAATCCGCTCGAACACAGGTAAAGATACATCTTAGATCTTACCTAGTGGCGCTGAGGGAGGCTAGGACTAACTACTATGCCTCACTCATCGCGTCATCAGATAACCGC